ATGTTAAATCAGCCTGCAGAATATCCAGTACACCCGGACTTTTATGAAGTCGAAAACCCTAATGGAACATATGAAAATGTTTTCGACTCAGATGCTATTATCGTTCATGCTTCATTTTCTGGCCCCAAAACTCTTTTTTATGCTTGGCAAATGACTTTTACGAAAAACCTACAAAGCTATATGAACCGCCGAGTGGAAGTATTTCAGACTTTCAAGTATGGTTTACAACAGATGGAAGAAAGAGAATAATTCCATTATACCATGCGTTTTACTTAGAACTTAGTTTCATATACAACTACTATCGAACGGTAAAAATATAACTTTTTAATACGGTTGAGGTGTTGGATTTGGTTGCCAACTAGACTGTGGTGCAGGTTCAGGCTGTTGTATAACAGGAGCTTGTTCTTCTGGTTCAGGGTCTTTAGGTATAATACCAACGAACTGACCTACTCTTTTACCAATATTTTTGACACCGTTCCAAATTCCTCTTCCGACAGATTTTATTCCATTCCATATACCTCTTCCAACATTTCGAAAGAAGTTTCCAATACTACTGAAGAAACCCATTTACTATATGTAAAAATCTAATGTCCGCCTAGTCTCTTACGTTTCCTTCTGAGTTCCATAGCATTTTTTAACTGGAGCTCATACATTCTGTTTCTCCTCTGGTAGAAAACATATTCTGGGTCAACTCCTGTGTTCGCGTCATCTGCATAAAGTTGTTTATATCCACTTCGGGTTTGTATAAACTCTTTCCATCTCATATTTGCATACCATGGTGGCAAACCTAACGCAGCGTCATTTGACATGGCAGTTTGCATTTGTACATCTGTTGGCACTTGACCATAGTTTGCCATTGCAGTTTGTATTCTAACTTCATTTGGAATATTCTCTGGGTTTGGTTGTCCAGGTTGCTGTGCATTCGCTAAGTTCTGTGCGTCCATTTAATATTAGATAAAAATATCTCTTACGAGTACATATGCTGAACATTTGCAGGCATTGGTTCATCTTCATATTCTCTGTACTTTTCTGCCACGTCAAATAAATAAATGACACAATGGAAAAAACCTAAAACAAGTAGTCCTATTTCAAACCACATTTACTTACTAGTAAAATTTCTTTGTTATGACACTTTCTCCGGTTTATAGGACCTCTCTCATATTCTATCTTGTCATATCTAAACTCATAGTCATGTATGTCCTCTAACCATCTCATAACGGTTTCCAAACCACTTTTATCGGATGTAAAGTAAAAGCATGGACAGTTATGTAAAACGTCTAAAGTTTCTAAAGAGTCTCTCAAAGTCCAGTCTACTTGGTATTGAAAATCCCATGTGTTATAGAACGGCGGGTCCACTATAAAGAAAACATTTTCCTTGTCTTTATATTTTTCATACAACTCTGTCCAATGACATCTCACAAACTCTATACCCTCAATATATTTTTCTATGTTCTCTTTGAAAACATTTGTATAGTTAAGATATAAAACATTTGACATAAGTGTTTCAATGTCATGAACTCTTATAGAACCACTATATAATAGTCTAGCAGATATACTATCCCAGTCTATATATTCTGCTTTTTTCAAAACCTCTCTCACAATATTTTTCTTATCTAATGGTATACGTTCCATCTTACCTATAGGTATCTTTTCTTTTAACGCTTTCAATATATTGTTTGTGTCTGGTATATGTTTGAGACGGTCCATATAGTTGTCGAAGTCATTGCATATAATCTTTGAGTCTGGGAATATTGTATGGCACAAATGGGATATATAGAAACTTCCACCGAACAAATCTACAAATGTTAGACCATTCGGTAGTTTCTTAAGTTCTCTCAATATAATATCTTTACATTTACCCTTATTTCCAAAGAACGGTAACGGTGGTTTTGTAAAATTCATTTATATATAATAATAAAAATGTTTTTTCCTGAAAAGTGATAGAAAAGTGACAAAACATGAAAACATATATAATTTGTGAAAAGCGACACATTATATAATGTTTTCGACCCAGAAGAAGGCTTCTCAAAGTATACTTCCTTGGAACGCCTGTAACTTTTCCTGTAGCGACGATAGACCCTTACTTGTCCGGACAAAGTTATACTAAACATCTTCAGGGCTAGAGGGCACGAAGTGCCTGGAGGCCCCACTACCTTTTTTTAACAATGGGTGGGAAAGACCATTCCAGCAGATTCGCACAACTTTCTAGAAAATTTTTTTAGAAAAATATCTAGGGTATTTATATCCTTCCAATCTCCTTATGTATTTTATCAAAAAAGCCTTCAATGAGACATTGCAACAGAACATAGCCATCTATACTTTCTCTATGCATATTGATTCGGATGAACCCTCTTCAGGCTGATTATATTTTCCAATTTCAATAAATATCGTTCTAAACTATTCACAGTCATAGAATAGCTCCTAAAATGAATAAGGTCATAAATCACGTATACAAAAACATACATCAGGAAATCAAATTACAATTTGATAGTTTCCAACCAAAAATTTTGCTAAAAAGTCAGATATATTAATCACGCTCAAATGATAAATACATAGCTTAAAAATCCAACAAATCGGCTTTTCCAATTTTTCTGTAGAATAAATTACGATATTAACATGCTTTCATGAAGTTTTTCAGAAATAATTTGTCTTTTCCTTACTAAGTAATGTTCATTATCCAAACAATTACTCTAATTTCATGAGATTTTTTTAATATTGAAATTTGAAATCTTATCACATTGTTATTGTTTGATATCACAAACAATAGTAATTACGAAATATTTACGGATACACTTAGATGCGATTATTATATTTACTTGTTGTTGATGAAATAAAAACAATATTAATTTACTTGAAAAAAATTAGAAAATTCTAGTGTGTATATCATTTTTATCATAACATCTGAGATTTGGTCTTCTTTGTATTGCAGATTAAAAAATTTAATATTGGAATCAACAATTATTGGTTTTTTGCACTTAGAAAGGTTTCAAATTCAAAGTTTGGACAATAATACTTCATTTTGGTTTTCCAAAAAAAATTCAAAATTCATTTTTCCAGGTGAAAAATCAAATCTTTGATATTTATTTTTCTTTTTTTAAATTATTTTTGGAATTTTTAACTATTAAATGGAACAGAATGAGGATCAGGATTTTATTTCTTATCATATGTTATGATGAATTTAACGGTCAATTTTAAAATATATTTTCAATCACAAATATCATTCCAAATAGTATTCAATTTTAAAACAAATGAATTAGATTGTGAAAAAAAGTAAGCTAACTCAGTAAAACGCTCTGATAAAAAGAGTATAAATCAAGTTTTTAGTCTAATATATCTTGATTTTAGAAGATTAAAAATGTAATTCTAAGATTGTAGTTAACATATGATATCTTTGAGCTGTTTTCTATAAAGTTCTTGATATTGTAAGCTTCAATTTTATACCAATATTGTAAATTGTATCAAATGTACTGCATTATTTTGATATATGATTAATTTTATGAGAGAAAACTGATCTACTTCTTGTACTGAATCATCTCTTGCCGATATATAAGCTATTTCTGTATATAATTTGTGGGGATAATATAACTCAAGATTGTATTAGCAGATTTTTTCCAAACTCAGCATTCTACACATACACAATATGTATAGTCTCTCGCCAGAGTTTCAGGCCAAATTTTTGGATGGAAGGAAGTGACTGTACCTTTTTTATTGAATTCCTTTTGAAAAAGTGTCACATCATTACCATTTTTTTATTGTTTTCTCCAAATATGAGTTGTTTTCTAACTCGGTACCTATTCAATATGAAACTACAATAACACTCGAAGATAATCATTGTATTTACTGCTCATTTGAAGATTTTAAAAGCTGAATTAATAAAAATCGAAAATTATCAGTTCAATCCCTGTTACAACTAGAGAACCGAAAGTTGATCTCACTGATTTTGATGATCTTTTCAATGCCATGCGAAGTTTATATAGAACTGAAAACCTTACAAAAGCAAATTTCTTAATTATAAAAAATTCATCTTCATATGATTATATTTCTGCACACCGCACATCAGTAGATTGTATTGTTCATAATCCAGTAAAATATCCACAATCTAGGTTTGTTTCTGGTATTGGTGATAATGAAATGTGGATTACTATCGATTTTTTAAGTTCAAAAGTATCTCTTACAAACTATAAAATTTTATATGCAGGACTTGATCGAATCATGATCAATTACACTTTGTTTGGAGAGTTCTCTCCTGGTAAATGGGAAGAAATTGATAATAGATATGTAAAGAAAGAAGATATTCAAAATTTTACCCTTGAAAATGTGAAACATTGGTGTTACAATTACCAAGTGAAACCCAAACGAAACTACTCTAAATTCAAGATTCAAAACTTTGGTATTAATTATAATGAAAGTTATATGACTTTAATAGACTATAATGAAATAGAGATGCTAAAGGCTGTTACATTAGCGAAGCTTTTGTTCTACGGAACAATTTATCCAGGAAAGGTTGATTATTCCAAAATTAACTTCCAGCAACGGAGGCTTTTGATTTTGAAACTTTCCAATCTTTATTTTATTTGTTGCTTCATTTCTGATGAAAAATCATAGTCATCAAAATCCTAAAATATGAATTGACAACAATTTTTCATTCATGTCAATGACTGATTTCTGATTCTGGTTTCAAGATTCCTGTTTAGGACTAGAAAAGTGAAATAGTTATTTAAAGGAGCAGTAAATCAGTCATTGAGTTAAGGGTGCACTTACCACTTTCTGACATTCTCTCAATTTTTTTGACATTCTAGTTTTTTATCCGATTTTTCTAAGGTAAAAAGTCATTAACTTTGTTCGGGAAGAAGTTATTTTAAATCACTACATAGTACCTTATATTACTGTTATACTTTTTTTGCAATCACAATAAAGATATATTGATATTATGGGAGCATGTCAGAAAGTGGTAAGGGCACCCTTAAAAAAAATTAATAGTTGAAAACTTTTAGTTAATTTTAAATATCATCCTCATCCTTATTGAGAACGACAACAGGATGATGGTGAAAACCATTGAAAAATGCAGTTGGAGAGTAGGTATATGCAGAGAATCTTCGAACAATAAGCAAATCTCCGACTTCAAGCTCTGGCCACATCATGTCTTCGTAGACAATATCTGCAGAGTCACATGTCTGTCCCCAAATAGTTGTTGGTAGTTTTTCACTATCTCCTTCTGTATGAATTTCAAAATGAGGATTATTATGGTCGTAAATAATTGAATTGAAGGCACCATAGATTCCGTCGGGGATATAAATGCTTTGTGTTCTTTCTCCATGGTCATCTTCATGTATCTTTGCGCATGTAACAGGCAAAATGAGATCCATGTATTCAGATGCAAAGAATCTGCCAGGTTCTCCAACGAATTCAATTTCGTTTTCTCCAAAGAATTCATCAATTGCGTTGTTAATTGTTTCTGTGATTTCTTTGAAAGAATTATTTGCAGGCGCATGAGGGGGATAAAATCCGCCACCAATATCGATAAAGCACACATTTAAGCCTAATTCTTCCGCCTTAACTTTAAGCTCTGCAACATATTGGAAAACTTGCCTGAATGTGTTGATATCGTCACATTGACTTCCGACATGGAATGAAAATCCGATGAAATTGGCTCCAAGCTCAGAAGCAAGCTGAAGAAGGTTAGGAACATCTTCTGGTGGTGCTCCATACTTCTTAGACAATGGAATTTTAGCGTTAGAGAATTTTGGCTTGACGCGAAGATAAACTTCAGCTTCAGGATAGAATCTTAAGATTTTACGAAGTTCTTCTTCTGTATCAAAGACCATTCTTTCGACACCAACTTCCTTGGCATAAAGTATGGCTTCTTTGTTTTTAAGAGGATGGGAAAATACAATTCTGTTAGCATCAACTCCTAAATCTTGTGTGATTACTTCAATTTCTTTTTTAGAAGCACAATCAAAGCCAAATCCATGATCAGCAAGGAATTTAAGTAGATTTGGTTCATCGCAGCATTTCATTGCATAGTGAGCTTTGATTTTTGGAAGGTAGGCTTCCCAAAGATTGGCACAATATCTAACCCTATTCATATCTGCAAGCCATATGGCTGTATCAGGACTGAACTTGTGAATTGCATCTACAATTGTGTCATCAAGAGTATTTATGCGTGTAAAGTTGTCTGGTGGTGCTGTATGCTTCATATTGAATTAATAAAATGAAATGATATATTTTTGCCAAATTTTTCTCCTATATTTTTTTCAAGATTATTTCCATCGATGGCATCAGAATACATTTTTATGTACATCCCCATAATTATCGTTTTTTTGAGAATTGAAAAAAACCGTTTATCCTCATGCAATTATATTTTGGCAATAATATTTTAAATTTTTTATGGTGAAAAAAAGGAAAGAAAATTTGTAAATTTGAAAGAAAACTAACGATGAGAATAAAATTGAATTTCCCATCGAAGCTCGTCACATTTCTCTGATTGATAGAAAATTAGGGGAAATGTAAAGATCCTAAAGGTGATCCAAATGATCACTACAGGACGCGCGGTTTTTAGCAAGTTTAATTTGAAGTGCAGACTTTTGTGTTTGCTAATGTATACGAGTTTCGTAGTACACTTACGACATGCCATGGAACTCATATACGTGGAATTGCCGAATTTTATCGATGAATTTTGGAGATATTATTATCAAATCCAGATTTCTTTAATTTATATCGAATAGATATTTATTTGATCAAAGTGTTGGCTGTGCATATTAAATCCTGGATTACTATAATTACCCATTTTTTATTGTCATATGTGTTTTATACTACAATATGATAGAGTTTATGTTAGGTCATATAATTCCAAAGTTGAAAGACATAATGATTAGGATTGGAGGATTTTCAAGCTATACTACGATTTTGACAAGTAAATTTTGTCAGAAATAGTGAAATTTTGACAAATGAATGAAAATCAGATAAGAAGCTCTCTACAACTCATGGATGAGCTCCAGCAGCAGCCAATATGGGATGTATTCGAAAACATCGATTCAAAATTGGCTGCTGACGAAGCTAATCATCCATATTCGTTCGATCAAATCCGTGGTAGGCTCGAAAAAAAAATTATCAAAATCCTCATGAATGGATTAATGAAATGCGGAACACTTTTTCCGTATATGCAGATATTTTTAAGCAAGATGAACTCAAACGTAATATAATTAATAAATTATGGCAAGAATTTGAGTTTTCATTGCGTAGAAACTCAATAGATGACTCAGAAATCATATCTGAAATCACAGCTATTAAAAAGAATTTATCGGACTGGATAAAAAATAATTCTGCCGAAAAAATATCAATTATTAATGATAAATTAGAGCCTTATTCAAAGTTTGGCAGTCTAGATTTAACCTCTGACATAAATGATTTACAATTACAAAGGAGTATTAGGATGCTACGGAGTAGCAATTTATTTATAAAAATTGCCGCATTTATTCATAAACTCCAGCCAGAAGCCGTTATAATGAATGAAATTATCTCAATTCAATATGATATTCTGAGTCCGGATAATCTTGTGAGTGTTAAAAAATTTGTAGCAGATCTAATTCAAGATGCCGCCAAAGGTGTTATAGATCCATTTGAAAATTGTGAGGAAAAAAATCGATTGTTTGTATCATAATCTTTTTTTTATTATTATTTTTAAAGTTTGTTAAACATTTCATATAAGGATGTCAATTTGGAAGAAAAGTGAGAAAATTCCTAAAATGCTAAAAATGAATTTTCCAAACGTACTTTTTTATCTCATTTTTTGGGTCGTTATCGATTTTGTAATTTAATCGTTATCGTTATCGATTTTGTAATTTAATCGTTATCGTCTTTTTCTAAACGTGCATTTTGGAACTAAATCGCATATAACTTTAAAATGACTTAATATTTAAAGGTTTATGTGGTAAATATCAACGAAATGTAATATTAATATGTGCACCATATATGAATTACAGACATTTGAGCAATTCGAAATTTCATCGCGTTATATATTCATTTAAATTCGATCAAATCAACATTGCAATTATAAAACCATTACACATCCAGTCAATATTTTTCAATTTCATGCGAATTATATCATTATTACACATTTTAAAATGGCGAAATATAGTCCAAAAAATAAACTTCGTTTTAAACTCAATTCTCACACATATTCGGATTAAATCATATGTGACTCATATGATCATATATCTCATTTGAGGTCTAAAAAATGATTTACCGAGAAAACTTGCATTCGAACTAAAATTTACTAAATTTAATCAAATTGGTTTACAAACGTAAAGTTTATGCCAAATATTTACGTTTGTAAACTAATTGAGTAAATTTATAGCACTTTTTTTCTCGATGCAATAATTTGAACTACGAGTTTACCAAATTAGTTTACAAACGTAAAGTTTATGCCAAATATTTACGTTTGTAAACTAATTGAGTAAATTTATAGCACTTTTTTTCTCGATGCAATAATTTGAACTACGAGTTTACCAAATTAGTTTACAAACGTAAAGTTTATGCCAAATATTTACGTTTGTAAACTAATTGAGTAAATTTATAGCACTTTTTTTCTCGATGCAATAATTTGAACTACGAGTTTACCAAATTAGTTTACAAACGTAAAGTTTATGCCAAATATTTACGTTTGTAAACTAATTGAGTAAATTTATAGCACTTTTTTCTCGAGGCAATAATTTGAACGACAAGTTAATGTAATTAGTGTTCTCATGTTTACAATTCAATATGTCTATGCATATGATATAGGCAAATTCTATAAATAAAATATTATTAAATAAAATTCTTTTCAATTCCTTAAAAATAGCGTTTCTTTTGAATAAAAAATGATTTTTAACTAATTTTAGGACTCCTTCTATTTCAAAAAAATACCTGAATTTAATTTTCTGATGCAAAATTTATGCTTTTTATCATGAAATTCTTTTTTTCAAAATTTTTTTGGATTTTTTTCCATTTTGAATATAGTTAATTTTACTTTATTTCACATTCTATTAAGAAATACTTAGACCAATCCCTGTGGGACCCAGTGGTAACTTTCCATGGAAACCACTCAGTGGGAACATTTTTTATTTTTGACGGAAAAAATTCTAAATATTTTTTTCATTTTTTGATTTTTGAATTTTTTTTGGAATTAGAGAATAAAATTTAAAGCGATAGATATGCTTGATTATTCAAGATATTGATATTAAATCAGAAATCAATGGTAAATAAAGAGTTTTATAAAAACTTACCACGTGGTAAGATGAAGTGACCACAAATTGAGTTGTGGTACATAAAAATTACCACAAAATTGAGAACTTTTCCCACAAATTGAGAATTTTTACCATAAAATGAACGATGGATATCCACGAAAGTTACCACAACTCACTTCTCGCGCAAAATATGTTTAATATTACATATTAAATACATTTATCAACATTAATTATTTTGAATTGTGGTAAAACGATAGTAGTAGATGAGTGCGGGTTGTGTGACTTTTTTTGTTACATCTATATATAGACGATGCATTAAAATATATTTATTTATAAATCATTAAAAAAATTAACATTAATTTTAAAATAATTTATTTTTTTATCTTTTATAAAAGAATCTATATATAGATGATGTCAGATATTCCGCGATTAATTAAACATTGTTTAAATCCTGAATGGGTTAAACTTCAATTTAAAAATGAAGATTGTGAATTATTAAATGAATATGAAAGCCAAAATAAGCTAATGAGGTATAAATATAATGATAAAGAATATTTAATTTCATGGAATCAATGGAGTCATAATCAAAGACCTCATAAACGAGAAGAAGAAATTGAAAATAATGAAATGGAAATCATTGATGACATTAAAGAGGATGGAATTCCTAAATTTTGTAGAAAAACCTTTAGAACTAAGTTAGGAGCATATAAACGTAGAGTATTAAATCCTGAATATCTTAAACATTTATTTAAAAAGGAAGACTGTGAATTATTAAACGTTAATGATTATGAAAATGCTAAATCAAAACTGAGATATAAATATATTGGAAGTGATGAAAGGTGTAAAGATAAAGATAAAGTTTATACAGTTTCATATAATAACTGGCACACGTTAGGGATTAGAAAACATTTAGGAGATTATGGTAAAAGTTCCGAATTCTTCAAATCTAGTATGTATGAGAGAGTAAAAGAAATTAGAAATAATTATTTTCATGAATAAAAGATTCACTACCATAATGAAATAAAAAATAAAAAATAAAAAAATAAACTTTAAAAAGAATTTGATGAGTTCAACATTGAACTTTAAGAAACTAATGATTATTTGAATTTATGAAATCAATTATTTGATTCATTCTTTCTTCAATAATTTCTATTCTTTTTGTTAAATCATCAATTTTCATTAATGAGGTGATTCTTGATTGAGGAATAGATTTTAAACTAACAACACCTTTTATTTTTGAAATTTTGAATCCATGACCCTCCGGGTCTTGGACTCTGTCCTCAACTTTAAACATTTTATTCAATTTACATGTTGTCAATTCTTCAAATAATTTTTTATTATTAGCATAATAGTCATTAAATTCATCAACAGATGAAAAAATTTTTATTTCAGTAATTGGTTTAACAACGTTTATTTTTTGTTGAACATTTTCACTTTCATTTATTTCTTCCTCCTCTGTTTCATTTATTTTTAAAATCGGTTTCATTTATCATTAAATAAAAAATTAGAATATAAGTGATGAAATATATTTTTTAATTAATATTAAATCAGAGATGGCGGCAGGATTCTTTAAAAAATTATGGGAAGGAATTAAGAAAGCTGCAAGTTGGGTTCATCAAAAGATTATTAAACCCGTTGCAAACTTTTTGGCACCAGTAGCGAAAACGGCAGGAACTATCATAGGAGGAGTATTAGGTGCTAAAGCAGGTAATCCGGCGATGGGAGCACAAGCAGGTAACGCAGTTGGTGGAATTGCTGAAGGAATACTTAATAAAATAGGGGGTAGATAGTGGAAAAATAAATAAATATTATTTTTATCTTAGTATCGGTTGTAGTCGACGATAAACCTTATCTCCTTTATTTAATACTTCCCTTACCGGAACATTAGGTGCTATTTGTTCAGCAACGTCACTAATTGCTTCTTTATTCTTAAATATCCAATTTGCTCCTTTCTTAATCCCTTCCCAAACTTTATGCGCTCCTCTTTTTACTTTATCCCACAGTTTCTTAAAGAATCCTGCAGCCATAGTTGATTATTTCATTAAAATTAAAAATTCATTTTCATCTTTTAATTTTGATTTTTTATTTAATAATAAATGACGACTAACTATTTAGTGCCAAACACTAAACCGATTAATGGAAATGTATTTCATTCATTCGAAAAGATAAATGAAATATTCGCAAAGAATGACGGTAGAAGATATTATAGAGAACTTGAAAGTTCATGCTATGACTCTGATGCTCCATATTTTGATGATAAACAAACTCATTTAAGAATTACAAATCCGGCTCATGATGTGAACCAATTAGGTGACACATATATTAAACGCAAAGTTAAAGCAACTCTAGTTTCAAATAAAGCTTTCACATGTGATGCCGCTTTTAAATGCATGCGTTTATTCGTTGGTTACAAATCATCAAATCAAAGCTTTAAACAATTAGAAGTAGAAACCGAAAGAGGTGATGCTGGTTATCTTCAGATGGATTGCGCCCGTGAATCTTTCGCATTTGCAACATATAAACCAAAATCAGAAAGGAAAGTTAAAAAGTTTGTTCATTCGTTATATAATAATGTTCAAAAATATGATAACTCAGTATGTGGTAAATATATTGACCCTTCAGAAGTTTTCAAGAAAGCAAATGAAGAAGTTGATGTCACTTTTGATATGATTATTCCGGTAAATGATTTGTTAGCATTTCAGGCGTTCGATGATTATCCTAAATCATTTGGTGAAATCATTCTTAAATATTATGTTTTCAGGGATACTTTAGTATTTTGTCAGGTTGACCCGTTAAGAGTTGCTGATTTACAAAATTACGTTTATGAAAAGATAACTGATGAAAATTATGAAAAGATTATGAATCATGTTTATAAATATGATCGCAAATTCCAACAAATCGGACTTCCTGCCAAATTAATTACAAGCTTAGCCACTACATCTGCTGACGCAACAGTTGAAGACGTTATTATTTCATGC